ACACGAAATTCTCGCATTGGGCAGGATTTATCTTGTCCATTGACTCTGTGTTTTCCGGATTTAATATAATTCTCTCGCTATTAAGACTATTTCCAACGATCTTGACATTTTTTTTTTTTTAAGTGCATTTCTCAACACCGAAGGTCACTGCCACAATAAAGGGGCAAGAATGAATATTTATGAAAGGAAATTTTGGGAGAAAAAATTTTCCATTCAAGTCGGAATCTTTAAAAATTCAAGGTTATGTAAGGCGCTTATTGTAGAGATCTTCGAGAAACACAAGATCTGGTTTAATTTATGGAATTTGCTCACTTATCTGAACTTCGAAAATCAAGCAGCCAGCTATGATATCTGTAAGGATAACCAGCGCTCCGCACGGAATTCTAGGTCGACTTCTAGTGGTCAGGGCTTACTGATAAACTGCCCGGAAAAGATGTGGTTGTAAATACAGACTTGAGGAGAAACAATTAATGCCCTTTAATGCGTAACTCCAACTCGGAATATGACATTCATGTGGTTAGGAGATAATGTAGTTAAATCATCTCTACGCATCAGATAGGACTTTTTTTTTTTAATATCTGAACTCAAATAGTCCAATATCATCAATTTTTTTTTTAATCAAGATTAGTCGCATAACCTTAGTCGATTGCCAACGAATACGTATTCAAATCGCATGAACATACCTCAGTTTCGAACCAGTCTTGAAAATGGAATATTTTTTCTTGTTTCAAGTACGTCAGGCCTGTACTGAATTATTGTAGGTACATCTATTGTTATGCAGAATAAATAGCATGATATTTTCCTAACTTTTGTATTCTTCTAATTCTAGTCTAAATAAGCCCACACGCATTGTTACAAACTATAGGGCAATATTCCTCCAGACATTTGGTGCCTTTGTGCTCATCGAATGGAAACCATCCTGAAATGATAAAAGGAAAGTATTCAAGTAACACATTCGCAAATGTCTGAAGGATTTCACTACAGTGTGGATTACCCGGAGAATATTTTCGTTGCGTACTTCTTTCTGGCCATGTTCCACACTCTATTATCTTAGTATCAATTACTTTTATGCTAATAGTACATCTTTTACTGCGTCTTACGTAAGCATGATAATGTTAGGCAAACTAAAAATAGAGCGTGGCTATCAGATTCTGTGGCTTCATTGCTAAAATTTACACTAAAGGTCTTAAAGGTGCACTAAATAATTTGAGAAGATAAATTCTGCCAACAAAATTCGTTTAGTATCCATGCGTCGATAACCGGAAATTAAGCACAAGGAATTAAAAAGCTCCTATGTGGGTGGCCACCTTTGGCGCATTATGGACCACAAGCAAAGATGATTGAACAAATTCAGGGACAAGCTTTTGAATCATCGCTGAAGCACCACTCTTTTTTGTTACACGTGGGCGACCTTTGTCAAAGTCATTTCGTCGAGTCTACACGAAATACATATTCAGACTTTTTGAAGAAGAAAAAACAAATTGAAGACTAAAAGCAAATTACATAGACCAACCCATGGATCTCCAGAACCTTACAAGCAAACGACAAATATATTACGCAAAAACAAATTGATTGAAAAGCAACTGTTGAATAAAAACGGATACAAACAGGGATGTTTCAACTAAGACTTTCAATTTGCACATTATTATCACGCAGGGGTTATTACTTTTATTTTATGTCATTTTATTTGGAGGTAGGTCCTCAACATTTGCATCGTTTTATCTTGTACTGAGTTTTCACTTACGGCGTGCAGGAACTTATCTCCGTTTCGCTGGATCGATACAAGACATTTTCGTTGCATAAGCGTTCAAAAAGGAAAACACTAAAGAAATAAATATTAATGTTGCGGATTTCATTGTCAACCTCAAATTCAGAAAAGTAATCACCGTAGTTGTCGGACTTATCAAGCTTAGCCGGCCATATGATATCAAACGGCGATCTCGTCGTCCGCTCACTTTTCCGAGGTATTGGTCATAACCTAATATTTCTTTTCACTTTTTTTTCCAGTCAAAGATGATTAGATCTTATTACTTGGAACTAAACTTCATGGTTTTATGTACCAGCAGCATAATATCATCAAGGGAGGATTGTTTAGTTTCTTCCATTTTGTTTTTCTTGTTTTAGGGGTGGGGGGAGATGTAATTTTCGAGGATTGAGGACAATCTAAATTAAACGGAGGACAATCGAATCTAAACTTGCAAAAGCTTAAGGCACGTGGTGTTTTTTTGGTCTTGTGCCTCCAATTACCGTCGCTATCAAGCGAATACAATATATCTCTTTTTTTTTTTTTATTACGCCTGGCCCTCACCAGTGGGAGATTCGACAGAAATGTTTTCCTCTGATTTTAATCTTCCATATATAAAAGTCGCCGACAGACGCAATTTCAATGCCTTCTGACTGTATGTTCTTAAAAACGATGTGCAGATGATTGCTTCGTATAATTATCGTGACAAGAACCAAAACTTACTTCTATTGGTTTATCTACAAGAGATATAAAGCAATATTTAGTCTCATGCTTTTTTACGACGAAGCCCTAGGAAGATATGTATTTGGCTGAACAAAAATCTCTAGCAAGCGAACCTTAACTGACTGTGGTTTTCGCCGCATAGCGGTCTATAAATTGTGAGGTTTACCTCAAAGAAACTGATGAGTAAACACAAAACTGTGTCATAGTGAAAAATTAATTACGTCAAATTTCTTTCAATATGCTAAAAGAATACATTCGCTATCTTATCTTGCTTTGTTAAAATAATGATAGGACCCTCGAGCTCTTAGGAATGAAAATATTTCCCCCCTGTAATTTTATCGAAAAGGTCGTTTCCCCTTTCTTTGCTTCCCTGTCTTCAAACCTATAAAACGCGCTTCATATTTGATAGATGAGTCGTCCAAAGGAGAGCAACCAAGAAACAAGATCACTCTTAACAAATTGCATGTGATATTTCCATTAATTGCTGCCTTAAGGGTGAAAATCATGTCACATGTTGGTAGTATTGCTGTACACTTAAGAAAAGGGTTAGAGATTCATCAGACAATTCGTGAGTTGTTTAGCGAAATTACCGTTTCCTGCAGTGGTAAAAATCTGCTATGCTAATTTGATTCGTCGGTAAGACGTTGGAAGATGATTAGAGGCACCAAACCAACGAGATTTATCTTATTCTGTTATGATAACTACGCGCGTGATGACACACCTCCACCTAAACTGCTGAAAATCGTTTCAAAGCGACGTGAACGTAGTCACTTTGAAAGGAGTTAGATCACATATATCACTGCGCATTGCGTTACATTTATGTTGATAAATGAGGACTCATTATTCATTGTGATTATCACCTGAGTTAAGAAAAACCTGAAATCGTTCACTAATTCTAGTTTGCTGGAAAAACGCGCGTTGAGTTACAATTACTCGCATTGCGGGCTAATGGAATTTTTCGTCCCTTCCTGAAACGAACTTCGTCGATATTCAAAAGTACTATGAAGTGGTCCAAGTCTGTTATAAAAACAGTCTTGATTTGTTGATTGATGAGACGCCACAAACCTTGAGTGATTTATACCCCAGACGATAGAACGGATGTTTTAATAAAAACATGAAGTAATTTAGCAAGAGGGAAGGGGTAAAAGATCAAAAACAGTCGAAACCTCGTGTCAGCCCACTTTCTAGTAAACAGGAAGACGGTGTGATCTTATTTTATCATATGGACCAAGCACGGGTACCTGAACTTTTTTCATCAACAATTTAGCCGTAAAATTTTGTGGGATGACCACGCCACTGCTTGAGGCAGAGACAAAGTTGTACTGATAAACTTTACAAAAAATGCAGATATAATTGTATTTAAGACTTAAAACCTGGGGGAAACCAATTAAAATCATTCAATTAATTCGAGCTTTGAAAAATGAAAAGCCGTTTAGAAGGAAGGAGAGAATTCAATGAAAGAGATGGCCATATATCATCGATTGGGACTTCTTTCCTTTTTTTTTTGTTTTGTAACTCCTTTTTAGCAAGTGTAATTTGATGATTCGAGCACGTTAAATGTGCTAGTTTTTCTTCAAGTCTATGGACTAAACTTATCGCAAGTGCATGTATTGTCATGCAGATAAAGTATCATGACATTTTCCTTTCTTATTTTTCTTACCTTTTTTAAAGGTTTAAATTTCCACTCGACGTCTCGAGCGCACACGTTGTTACCAACTGAAGGATAATTATTCTCCGGACATCTGAATTTAAACCATTCGGAAATTATTCAAGAAAGCAGTTTCCAATGTCGAAACGACTTCACTACAGAGTTAATTAGCTTGGGAGCACGAGAATAAATTACGTTTATTCTGGTCATTACATTTGTACTATCAATTCAGAAAACATGTTAAGTATAAAATGTTTTGACGGGTATAGAACAGCTGTGTTTTCTTGGGAACAATTTCTTAGGACCCTTACACCCTAAATCCACCAAATTACCAAAAAGTGAAACTTGCGAACTGACCGAAAATTTGTATGCGTTATAAGCATCCTTAAATCATTGTGACATTTGTTTAAATGTGATGTCTTTGCGGTACCAGATATTTTGTTGCATTAGCATCAAAAAGGGAAAACATTTCAGCAATAAATATTAATCAGTCGCGGATTTGATGGTCGACCCCAGCACCACCACGGCGATCTTTTCTGGTAAGTTTTCCAATTATCCCTGATAGAAGGAGCCTTTCTCGTACAACACACACTGTTTCTATTCTGGCCAAAGGCGACTACGATTCTCGCCTGAAACTCAATATTTTGAATCCTTTTTTAAGGGGGGTGGGGAATAACGATATTAATTTTGCGGTTGAGGACATTCATGTTTAGAACATCAGAACCGGTCAAATGTTTTATGCCACATTGTATATATTGGTCTGCTGCCTCCAATTACTTTCCAACGTCGCTACAAACGAAACCAATGTACCTAATAATCTTTGATTACGCCTACCATGGCTGCAATTTTTGTTCCAAGAACGCCAGCGGGGGCTTCTTTAAAATAATGGGAAATGGTTACTTTCGACAAACAACTTCGAGTGATGAATCTCCAACACTTCTTTTTATCATTATAGAGGTAGTGATCGGTAAATATGTCACATATATTTTGTTAAGGGTGCTCTAAGAAATATAACGCACGTTATATTGTTAAAGCACTCAGTGCATCAATAAAATTTACAAAAAACAACAGAAAACGAGGACGGAGAAGCGGTCTCTTTTTTTGATAAGCTTATTATTTACAGGGCGAAAACATTAGTGAGGATCCTATCATTACTTGAACAAAATACTATAAGGTCATGAATATATTCTTTTGACACGCCAACACGGTGACTTAACGTGGAATTTTTTTGTTTTTTTGTTTTGTTTTTTTGTTTTATCACAATCAGTAAAGGTTCCCTTCAGGTGAGTTTTTGTTCAGCTGAAGACAAGTTTTCCCAAGGCTTAGTCGTTGAAGATCAATGCATGCAATTTATGATCATTAATAAAGACAATTATGCGAAGCACATTGATAACCTGCACATCGCCGTGAATCCGGTCGGCAAGCTTTGCAAAAACTGAACCCACGTAATGACCACCGCTGGAGGCGGTTTTTAGCGAAGATTCAAGACAAAGTGAAGCATTTCCGAAACATCACACTGATCTGTCAAACCAATATACTAAGGGTTCAAGAGGAAAGAGAAGAATTATATAAACTATATATTAGCTAACAGAGTGAGAACTTATTGTGAATTTTTTTTTTTTTCTTTTCGCCGTAGACTTGAAGATTTAATTTTATATGCGACAAAACATCCGTTTCTGTTGTATTGCGAAGTGGAACTGGATTCGTCTTAAACTGTAATAATGCAACACAAGTCAGTCCATACTGCTGCAAACCGTTTCAAAGCGACACGAACGCAGTCAAAGGAGTTAAAATACTATTTTATTGTGTTCTTCTATTGATACCAATTATTGGAAACTCGTTGCTCAATGCAATCATCAAGATGAATATAAACGAATACAGACTATTACCTCATCGCCATCATGGCTGTTTCAGACATTATTATAACAGCACTGGTAGTTCCGCGACAGCTAATAGAAATATTGCTTGGCCCACGATCGTGGCTGGTAAGGGAATTGCTGGGCTCCATTCTTTCTAAAAGCCTTTCCTTTTCACCAGACACCACAACTGATGTCTTAATTTTAAGTCTCGTGGTCATTGCCATAAACAGGTATAGAGGAATCGTGTTTCGTTTCCAAAAACAACTTATGAGTCCATTTAAACTCTGTAAAATCGTTAAAGCATTGATATGGACTGTATCGATGTCTTTTCACGAAGTGTTCTTCGATATTTTTCGCCTTGTGACATACAACGGAAATGCGTATTGCAATGTGCCTTGGGCTCCAAAGTCATAAAAAGTTATATTTTGTAGCTATATTTATTTGTTTGTTAGCTGTTCCAGCATGCCTAGTTAAATCACTGTATTTGCGTATTATCCAAAATCTTAAAAGGAACAGAGCTGTAAAGTGCAGAGGATCTCTGAGTTAGAAGAGACTAAAAGAACACACAAAAGTACTGAGGAACATCATTGATGTACTAATTGCTTTCATGCTATGCATCATTCCAATCAATGCATATGGTGTTATGGTTTATTTCGTCTGGGAGTGGAAAATGCCCTGTGGGATGAAAAACTTTGGTTTTGCTGTCCACTTTATTCTATATGCAAACGCTTCTGTAAATCCGTGGATATACTTTTCTTTAAACGATGAATATCGCCGGTGTTTCGTGAACATTTTAAAGAAACTTCGCATCGTCGCAAAAGGGGCGGAGATTACGAGAAGATCATCTCGAGCTATCGCCGCGGCATTAGAAAAGTTAAATGTTTTTTCATCTACTTACATCTTGAGCAATTAGCTTGTTTCTTCGTTCTTTTGGGCTTCTCTAGTTGATTTTCTGCGAATCTCTGCTGGCGGTCAACTAAACAAATGTCATAATGTTCACAATGAATTATTAGACTTTATGTCTGGAGCATAATGCATGAAATGTATATTCATTTGATTCATCTGTCATATTTTCCATTTCTCTGCATTAGTGCTTAATCATACAGAGGTGTCCATATATATTATCATTGCTTTTTTCCCATACATTAGCATTTGTCTTTCATATCATTTTAAGGGTAATCGGTCAAGAACTAACTGTAGTGGACCTATTCGCTTAAACTTTAACAATTCAAACAAATAACAGAATAATAAGTCACTAGACATGATTTCTCAATAGTGCTTAGCTGTTGAAATGCCTCTGTTACAAGATTTTGACACATGTTGCATCTGCTTTTCATATCACCAAGATATTTTTCCATAACGGATTAAGTACGAGTGACGTAAATACACTAGCAGCCTTTTCTGAGACAAAGCCGGTAAGAATAAGATTAGGAGTTGAAAAAGATGAACGATGCAATCTCATCATTATTCAGGTTATCTTTTAAATCCAATCGTTATGTGTTATCTATCTCTACCAAATAAATCAGGGAGTTATATTTTCTGGACCTATAGTGGTTATGGTTAGCCCTGTCGTATCTTTTTTTTTTTTTTTTTTTTTTTTTTTTTTTGGTTGATGTTACGTTTTGTGTAAGCAACAACGGGGTAAATAAAAAAAAGTGTTCAGTGAAGGGAATTACATATCTTTTTTAATATAGGAAAAACACACCTTTGTGAATCCACATGAGGCGCAGCGACGCTGCTTGGTTGTCGATTCGTGATCTCTCTTTACATGGGGTTCATTCTGGCGTTACCAAGGGAAATACATTTGATAATCGGGAGTGCGCTAAAAATAACTACTTTATTTTCAGAAAAAAAAAAAAGGCAGGAAAAAGAAAACGTGACTGTTTATGAAATGTTATTAAAGAGATGATATGTCGATTGTATTTGCATTGAATGACGAGAAGAGGCACATAAGCTTAAAAAAAAGGTAACTTACCTATACCTGCCCGCCTGCCGATTACTGTTTTGCGTAGCTCGATGTTTTCCGGCGATTAGGTATTCTATTTCCTCTTGCTCCACCACGTAAGAGACAGAGAGCCTAACGTTAGATCCACACTTGTACGGCCAAAACTTTGAGATTCATCAAGGACGCGTATGGTCTCCTCGTATTGTCGCGCGGCAAACATCAAGATCAATTGCGGTGACCTCGTTGAGTTTCGATATAATTGCTGAATGGAGTGCCTTACTGTATCCATGACGATCCTATGGGCATTTGCATTTTGTGGGAATTTCTTTTTTATAAAGGAAGCAGTGCCAATATAGATTGTCAATATAACATGGGCTCTGATTGGCTAGAACAGCCAGCTGCTTGAGAGTTCCAAACATATTCTGTTCGAAAGTGACAATTTTTTTCGTACCGTGATTTGGCGAGTTTGGACATAAAAGTGGGTTTCGAGAACAGGTAAAATACTTAGATACAACGTAACCTAATCAATATTTAATCTTCTTTCTGACTGTCACCCTCTGTTTTAGTTATTTGCTCTTCAAATCGTATTTATAATTTTTCCGCTATTTTAGTTCGTCATCTTTGACCCACAGAAATGTTATTTTCTGGATGAGTTCATTTGACATGCTCCTTGAAAAAAAAAACATACAAAGATGATCGCTCCTTTAGTTTCTAACATTTGAAGTCAGATTTGTTATCGAAGGCCAGATGTGCGCAACTTGTCGACTTTTCAACATACGACAAATTAACCTCCAGCGGGTTAGCGTGATAAATCCCAAGGGTGCTTGATTCGACAGTCGAAAACGTCTTTAATTGTGATCTGCAGACTGCTGTGAAGTTGAGAAAAACTCTGTTGGCGGTTTACTGTGTTTAATCATACTATGTTCAAAATAAAAAAAAGTAAAAAAAAAAAAAAGAAAGAAAACGAAAATTGCTTTTTATGCCGCGGCATATATTGGACAGCAGTTTGAACGGATGGACGTCATTCATAGGAAGAATTGAATTATTTAGTGGCCTATGCCACCGGTAAATTTGAATTTTATTGTATATTTCAGAGCTGTCATTCAAAAATTCCTTGTATGGCAGGTAAAGTTTTGTTACATTAATTAGTTTAAGGCTACTTTTTAGATCTTGCTGAAAAATTCCTCAAAACATTATTTTACAGTCATCTTAATCGCTGCGTGACGCTTTTTCTTGGACCATCAAGCTCTTTTATGTAACACGGCGTCACTCATACAATTAGTCAGTCACGTCACGGGATGTTTCGCTGTCATAGGAAAATATTTATTCAATTGTTAAACTGGCCGGAAAACAAAAAACAATCACAGCTGCGGCTTTCAAAACAAACAAAGAAAAGATATACTTCCCTTCCTATTGATGTCAGTGTGCACATGGTTCTCCCACAGCCACCCACCCGTGAGATTTCACTTCAATATTTTGTTTTGCATGAATTCATCCATATATTATCCGCAGATTCAAGGGTAATTAGGCGTAGTGATAATTTAAGAGAGCAAAACACGTCTTGAAAATCGAAGTGAAAGAAGAAACAACAGTTCAAAAGGTCTCAAGTAACTCAGTGGATGTTTTCCATTTCTATTTTGGGCTGATCTAGAAATCGACTCAAGCTACGTTTTTCGTCTTCATCAAGATCGAATCACAAGCAATGAGTTATTATTCAAACAGGAGTGCCGACAACTTTACCACTTCGCCGAGAGAACTTAGCACCTTCAGCTGTCCGTTCTTAAGTGACACTACCACCGTCAAAGGAGTCAAAATATTTTGTTATTCCCTCGTTCTGCTCATAGCAGTCATTGGAAACTCCTTGCTCATTGGTGTTATTAAGAGGAACAAGAAGATGAAAACGATTACCAATTACCTAATTGCCAATATGGCGGTGTCAGACATATTGTCAACGCTAGCAGCCGTACCCCGTCAAATAACTTACATAATGTTGGAACCTCAACGGTGGTTGTTCACCGAAATGTTTGGCTCAGTCCTATGCAAAAGCATTTCTTTCTTTCAAGATGTCTCAACGGCGGTGTCAATTTTTAGCATTTTAGCAATAGCTCTAGACAGGTACAGAGGAATTGTGTTTCCATTACGCGAAACGAATACAAAGCCGACAAAAAGCTGTAAAATTATCATACCACTTATTTGGATAGTTCCAGTGGGCCTTCATGCGGTTTACTTTTATATTTTTCACTTAAAAACATCTGACAATAAAGTGTATTGTGTTATCGATTGGGGGTCAAAATTCGACGCGAAAAGATCTGTGGAAATATACTACATTATATTGGTAACTTTCGAAATTTATATTCCACTGTGTTTAGTCACATGGCTGTATTCCGCCATTGTCATGAATCTCAAACGGAGCGCTATAGGGAAACACAGGGGTCCTTCAAGCTGCAGAACTTCGAGAAGAATAAGAGAGGACAGAAAAGTTGTGAACAACATCATTGCAATTGTCATTGCCTTCATGGTTTCGTCGATACCCATCAATGTCATTGGTATTTTATATTATTTCGTTTGGGATTGGAATATGCCCTGCGGTGTAGAAAACTTTGGCTTCGCAGCACACTTTATTTTTTATTCCAACCCTTCAATGAACCCGTGCATTTATTTCGCTTTGAATGATAAATATCGACACGGTCTGGTGAAGATGTTCAAGACGATGGTCTTTTTCAGGAAGGTCGAAAACAACGACTCAAAAACGTCCGAGAAGGAAACTTTGAATCGAAAAACATGGTCATCCACTTTTGTATAAAGGATAAAGCAATTAATGTCTTGGCTTGAGGACATAAGACTATCAAAATTGGATCACAACATGACCTTGGATTGAATTTTGTTAAACATCGCCAAAATGCCCAACTTAATCACCTTTGGGCTTCACTCTGAGGGGTTCATCAAAAACGAACT